AACTGCTTGCATGATAAATCATGCCTGCAGGAATTTTCTCCACAAAAGTTTAGGAGGTCTGCCCTCTTTTTGAATTTGGTCACTAGTATACGTCAAGTGAAAAAACACACTTCCATTTAATTCTACTGACCATATAAATTAGCCCAATTTTGTGCATTTGAGGTTGGCAGGGTGGAAAGGAACATAGAAAAACAATGAAAGTCAAGTAGCCCAGGCTGCAAGCGCCCTACTTGTAAAACACAATCTTGCCTGACAGAAGGTAATGGTATAAATGCTTTATATGTCTGCTGTTCCCACTCATTCTTCTCCATCTGATAAGCTAGGTGGCTACAGCTGACACAATGTCATTGAAATGAGGCACAGCATGATTAAATAAGCTACCTTGAGTCACGGTCTATGTAAATAAAAGAGGCAAAAAGTGATTCTTCCTCACAAACACCCCAAAATATAATCTCACACATTTCTATACTTCAAAAACAGAGCAGGGGTTCTTTTAGGCAACACATTTACCTCTTGGTGAAGTGTGAAATTGCCTCTCAGAGTGCTCAAGTTACCACATCCATTTTGATGGGGTAACATTTCATGCACTTTCATCTGCTTGTTTTGCCACTTTTAGACTGACCACCATACAACTGCCAGACTGGAGAGATCTACTGATGGCCGTGGAGGCTTTAGGGGTGGGGTGGGAGTTAGTACAAAGAAGTCAATTTTCCAAACTCTGTTGTGTATCAGATTTTATTGGAAATCAGAAGCAGGATGCACAACTTTTGGAATCTTTAACAAATTCCCTGTGATTGAGGATCATAAGCACAGACATTACTAATTAGCTGCAGGAAATCCCAGATATTCTTTTAACTATGCTTCCATTTTCGGTAAGCTCCTTTAGGTCCCAAGACTAGTGACGATGATGATTGTTGTTATGATAGTTAGGATTCTTTCTTAACCTAGATTAGATATTTTTCAGAATATTGCATTTTTCAAAATAACTAACCCACGGGCTAAAGAGAAAGAAAAACCAGGTTCAACGTTGAGTGACTCCCACTCCTGCGACTGAACAGACAGAGCCAGGGTGACTCTGCTGAACTCAGCTGCCAAACTGGATCAAGAACAGAGGGGAAATCTGGAAGGGGGCACAAAACACCCGTAGCCCTTTTGTTATTTCCATTTCCTGTACACTCCAATCATTATATTTTATACTATTGGACAAGATGAACACTGAGATAAAAACATCAACATAGACAGCAATTTTTATTCAGGTCACGGTACAGAAATTGCACACTTCAAGGCATAACCTCCAGTAAACTGTGGAATATGCAGCATTCAAAAGGGAAAGAAAATTGTCTGTGGCCAGGCGTATTATGTGAAAAATTAATAGGCATCATCTGTCAAACAAGCTGCTGGTGGTGATGGTTGAGGGGATTATATTCACATGAGCACATCGGCACATATTTAATTCAGAATTCCAACTATACACATGACTTCCTCATGGGTAATTCACAGGCAGTACATGGAATATAGTCCTATATACACTTACCTGGCAGAAATGCTACTGAACAAACTGAGATTTGCCTCCATGTAACCATTTATAGCATTGTGCAATACTCTGCCTTCCTTGAGGTATAGCTCAAAGCAAACCATCCTTAGAAGCAGGGTTCTTAAACCTTGGAAAGTTCTGTCACAAAGGGATGGTTTATATATCTGTGATTGTATTACACATCCACCTACCCCTCTTTGCTCATGCTCCACATTTCAATTTGACTCAGCTGCAAGTGACTTCTGACATTTTTTTTAAAAAGTCACCACTGATTAATCATGAAGGAGGCGATGGATGATTCAGCTAAAAAGAGCGGGGGGGGGGGGGGGGGGGGGGTTAAATCAGTATATAAGGGAGGCAGTACTATAAAAAAAGACATCCAATTGATACCTTTCAGTTTATAAAACTAAATACAAAACAAAGCAACACTTAATCCAGTTTAATTCTTCAATGGCAAACTGAGCAGCATTCTCACTTATGGTTCTCTCACTGCTTGTTCTTAAGTAGGATTCAGATGTAGTCAGATTTTTGTAACTTAGGGACTGCTTGTATGCTGGTCCTTTAATGGGTGTGTAAAAAAGGGAAATATGGCTGAGAGAATTTTCCAACTGCTGCATTGCTTTAGAAGCTATGTGTGCAAAGGTTTCCACTTCTGTGTTAACTCTTAACCATTACAAAGCAATTTACTCCTTGGCTTCTGGTCAGCTTAGTACTGGGATCAGCAACTAGAGTTGATCCTGTTTCTAGGAAAAACTACCTGCTCCTTCAGTGGCTGATCTATAGAAAACTAAAGCATGAGGTACCATAAATACCAAACAGATTGCAAATAGATAGTGCTACCAGTTAAGTGGGTGGGTGAGCAAGATAGCACATCCTCAATTTCTCCTGCAAAGTAGGAGCTGGTAAAGATTAGAGCCACATATTCTGTATGTAAAAGACAATAGTTGAATATTCATCTACAACTGGACACAGCTGTCCAAAGTTGTCTGGGGAGTCATCTATAAAAACAATAGCCCTCTGATGTAACACATTCCACTTATTACAGTGTGGCCCATTTTGGTATGAGATGGTGTCATTTTTGTGTTTTGGAAGGAGCCAAACATATTCTTAGCTTTAAACAAAGTTTGGTACAGTTATGATAGTTAGTTATTATTAATATGGGTGGCATGATTCCTTATAAACAGACCTATGAACTGAAAATAGGGTAGCCAGGCATACAAAAAAACAAACAACCCCCCCCCCCCCAAAACCAAGAGTCCCGCAGCGTTAATAGCTGTACTGAAGAGGGAGTTGTAGTAATGTCATATCATGACTTGCAAGCTAGACTTACTACAATTCCCTTTCTTTCCTTAAAGGTGTCAGGTATCTGTTCTCTTCGCACACATAACTCTTTCTTTATATCCAATTTTACTTAAGTGAGAAGAATACATGAATGAATTTTACTGCTATCACCAACAGTCAACTTACTGTGTTGTATGCTGGTAAGTCAAATTATTTTACTGGACTTTGAAAATTACCAGTTACAAATGAATTTCCCTGATGAATGAATTCAGTTGCTGTGTGAAAACACATGTTGTAAAGGTCCTATAGCACAATCTGATGTTCAGAACTCAGTCCTGCTAAATTCAGTGGTCTTTATTTTTGGGTAAATAGGAATATAGCCTCAACATAGTGGTATGAAAGGCCACATTGTGCAGAATGGTTGGGCGAACATTACCATTACTGGGTTGATTCGTGCTGATTGCCTTTTTGCATAATTGCACTTTATTTTACCAGTTTTGCTGCTCTCAAGAACCTGGTTGATTTCAATCTGTATTCTGCAACAACTACATTTTTCCATCTATGTAGACTTCCTTTCATTTTGTTAGAATTTTATGTATTCAAATTTTGATATTGTGATATTGCAATGAACCCTGAGTCCCTATGGGGAGAGGGGGAGGGTCATAAATAAAGTTTTATTCTTATTATATGAAAAAAGCAGAACTTGGTATTAGTTGTTGTTATTTTATCACTTCAGACATTTTTTGCATGGAAAAGCAGCACACCAATTGCAACAACAGACAAGGTCAAAATACTTGATTTTTTTTAAAAAAAACAGAAGTCTGAATACTGCACAATATCAGAATTTATACTGAAATAACCATAAGACTTTATGAAAATGTGCCATTTGTTGTGCAACAGGCCTTGCACCATACAATTATGTCATCAGATCTTAAGCTCAAGAAAGTGAAACAGAACATATATAGACATTCAAGTATAAGAGCTCCTTTGATATATCTTAGGTCCTCTGTGTTATGATTTCTCATCTGAAAAAGTGAAGCAATCCTTTCAGCCACTATAGATTATTACAGATAGGGGCAGGGTCATCTAACAGAGCAGCTTAAATACATTAGCTTGCTTTGGAAGTTATAGAATTCTGTAGGGAAATGATACAAAATGAGAAAATAGATAAAAAATGTACTCCAAAACCCAAATTAAATGTATATTTTAATTTTACTAAGATTACTTTCTGCCCTTCTCACTTGTTACTTGCTCACACATTAATATTTTGGATTACAGCTTTCCAAATGAGTGGGAATGACAACTTCTCTGAATATCCTAGTGAGGAAGAGAACCTGAGATCATTTAGGTGTGTCATTGAGAAAAGACATATTACTCATGTTGCAAAGGATCTCTAGTAGGGCTGGGCGGTTTCGTTTCGTAATTTTGTAATTCGTTAAAATTCGTTATTTTTTTTTATAACGAAGCGATATTGAACCATTCAGGAGCATCTTAAAAACAAAACGAATTTTTCAATTCATTTCGTAATTGCTTCGTATTCGTTTCGTATTCGTTTCGAAATCGTTTCGAAATCGTTTCGTTATTATTTCCGCATGTCTGGGGCAAGTTTTATAGCTGTTGTTTGTTTAATCAGTGAAAAAAATTATAAATATCACACCAACAGTCAACAACAGAGGGAGAGGGAAGCTTCAAAAGTTCCCCCTGTCCCATATGGAGGTTTTTTAGCGTATTGCGCGGTCGCGTCCGCCATTAACGAATCGATTCGTATTCGTTTCGTATTCGTTTCGTATTGTTTCGTAATTTTACGAAATTTCGTAAATATCGAACTTTTTTAAAGAAAAATTTCGAAATTCTTTTAAATATCGAAACGCAAAAAAACCCAAAAAACGAATCGAGTTTAGAAACAATTTTTTCCGTGGTTGCCCAGCCCTAATATGCTGCAACTCCATGCATGGTGGAGATGCCATGAAGACGCTTGAACTGAATTGCTGCTGATACCGCCATCAGCATATCTCAAAATACCATGTTTTCTGCCTCCCAAACATTCTGTGAATTGTGCTGTATAAAATAACAACAATCAGAACACGGGGACTATGATTTAGTCATACATACCAGTTCCATTTTTGCTCATTCTCTGTTCCATTAAACACACTATATAAGTTAATTTTCCACAGAGTGATCTTACCTTTAATGCCCGGACTTTCTTGGCCAACAGGCTCTCGATGTCCCCTGCCACTTTTTCCACAATTTTATCTGGAACATTCTCTCTTACTTCAAACAGGTTCCTTTTCTCATCGTAGATCTGTTGAAAGGCATTTAAAGCAGAAAAATTGATATTTTGACAAACAGGCAGAAACCTCCTAAATGTCTAAGAAAAATGTGTGTGTGCTTTTAGGAAAAGAAAAAGAAACAAAAGAGTAAACTAGGAAATGCTCAGGGTGCTGATACCTTGCTTCAGCTTCCTCAAGCAATACTAAAATGGCACACTGGGCAATTTCTTTAATGATGGGACTGAAAGGCACTGTATCACTGTCTCATATACAGAGTGTATGTGTAGATATGTCTGTATGTTTATATGTGCATACACACACACAAATATATATGAAAAAGCAAATCAATGCAGTGCTGAAAAAAACTCAGATACATAATAGCTCCTGCCATAGTAATATTATGGGAAAGATGTCATCTGAAAAGAGGTTCAGCAGCAGCCAACAGTAGCTAGTTGCCAAAAATGGAAAGGAGATGGGAACAGGAGGCTAGCTTGTTAACCTCTTTAAGATTTTCAACTTTTCTTCTTTCACGACATTCTTCCATGCTTACAAGCTGAGCATACCACACAGCCAGAAGTCTTTGAAACTGGTTTTTCTCATTTTCTCAGGATAGTCATGGATTGCCCCCAAGGTTCAATCAGGAAAGTACTTCATGAAATCCCACACAGGCCCAACCCAATTGATGAAAGCTAGCATGCTGCCCTCTTCCCTCCCACTGTGCATATAATTCAGCATGTACAGAGACTTACACAGTATAAGGTACGTGGCTGAAGCTGGTGACAGAGACAGTGAAGTTCAGAACAGAGAAAGAAACAGAAGAAGTATGATTTAAAGTCTGTGGAACTCAAGCAAAAAATGTTTAGGGTAAATAAATACTAGGAAACAGCAACTTTTTTGGATTTTCAGAAAGGAACACTGCTCTACTGCTCCCACAGCAAGTGGAGCACCATTTCATGACAGTCAATTAAGCATATTTGGGGGGGAAATGTTGCTGTCTGCAGTGAATGTGCAATGCTGATGGAATAAAATTAGGAAGAATTAAAAGCATCCATGGACCTAAAAGGGCTTTGGGATGCTGAAAATAGCATGTAGTAGAAAAGTTTACCAACTAAAAACTTCCAGAAGAACCATTTCTTTTTCAGACACCTAATGCACATTCACAGTATGTCATTTCAACAGTAGCAATCATCATCCACACACAAAACATACTGCGTATTCTTCACTTGTCATTCAGTATTCATACACACCCTTCTAATTATACATAACATATGAACTTATATGAAAATACAAGACACCTTTTTCTCCAAGTTAGGAAATGTCAGAGTGACTCAAGAGAATCCAAGGATAAATTGGAAAAAACTGGAAGCACAGAATTGCTCCAACCCTATGCCTCATCTCACTTGGGTGTGTTGGCCCTGACATGTGATATGTGCACAGAGTTTGGGGCACACATGTCCGATAACTTGAAATCTTAACCAGAAAAAATACACTAGGAAAAATACATGTATATGGGGGGATGGGACAAGACTGTAGAACACTGAACTTATAGCCACTGAAACCACTCATATATGCCTTACTTACCGCTTTCTTATGCCGTGTGGAGATCAACCTGCCCAGGGGGAGGTAGGAACAGGTAAACTAGCTAAGTGCAATCGTATTTCTCTTTATGCATTGATTATACACAGTATGCTCAATGCATAGATACACTATTATTTTGGAATAATAGAAAGGTTTGTGAAACAGATTAATTTTAAAGGTTGTAGCCCAAGCCACTTATAAAAGGCTACAAATGCATTTTTAAAGGTATTTTAGCTATCTCCTCTTTCTATATTGTTCTTAGTGGCAGCTTCTCACCTCCTGTATAAAATAGGGTTTCAGCAAACAGCAAGCTCCCTCCTGACAATGTAAAGAAAGCTGGACATGAGTAGATGGGCCTAAATATTAACCTTGTCCAAATACAAGGCATAACACTTTGCAGAAGCTGAACATAACTAATGCTTATAGTCCCTCTCTCTTCTTTTCTCCTGTTATTCTCTGAACAAGTAACAGCATAACAAAATAATGTGTTTTGAAAGCATAGCAGCTCCAGCTGAGCAGCAGCAATCAGAGAAGCAAACGAAAAGGAACAATCTTCAAGGAGAAACCTCTGGACACAGAGGGCATACTAATGCCAGCATTTCCCTATTATGAAATGGTAAATATCTTGCATTTGGCTGTATCTGGTTATTGCTCATGAAAAACAATGAAAACATCCTTAATCATAGCTTAATACTGACAGAATGAAATGGTCAAGCCAAGCTTGAGAATCTACCAACTTTTTTACTGGAACATAACAACAAGATGATGGTGACAAGGTATGGTATTTACTTGTATAGAGGCAGCATCTAGATCTTATAAAATAATAATAATTGAATATATTTGATACTATGAAATATACAGCCTTTCTTTAATTGCTGGTAGTGTGTTTGATAGCCAACAGAGTCTATACTAATACAAAGAAATTAAGTCCAAATATCTTTATATAAGACCTTCAGCAATAGAACAGACAAAATTTACAAATACAAACATATCCATCCACTCCTGAAAAGGGTTTTTCTTAGTGTGATAGTGGAAGCAACCTGACAACCCTAGCCTACCCATATATGATTTTTGGGAGGTATCTCCTTCTAAATTCAATTAGCCTTACTCCCAAGAAGGAATGCCTAGGATTTCACCCTTGTATAACATTTTCTTAGCAGGTTAATTATGCATGTGCAGCTAAATTGAATAAGCAAATGTTGCATTGCAATAAAATTGTTTCCCTCACTTTTTCTTCAACACACCCACAGAACACTGATTCATGAACTGAGGAAAATAGCTTTAAAATAGGTTTTATCATAGCAGTGCTAGCACTCTAGTGATAGCTTAACCTAGACAGAACAACTGGTGAGAAATGCTACCTCTTTTGAAAGTCTGCCTGAATTTTTTACAAAATGTCACAGGATGAGAGAGCTGGGTGTTGCTAAACATATTATGCAGCCTCCATAACCTTTTATAGCCTGCCTTATGGCATAACCACGCTAGCCTCCCAACTACCTCCAGAGATTTCGAGAGTCTGAAACTTTCCTCCTCTTTTTCAACCTTCAACTGGACAATGCAGTTTTTTCCATCTTTCTCTATTTCTTCTATTGTACAGAACAGCGAGTCCTCAGTACTGATTGTGTTATGTACTGATGATTTTAACCTGTTAATTGTTTAATTGCTGTTTTGTATATATGTATATTTGACATAGGCATCAAATTGTGCCTTCTTTGTAAGCCGCCCTGGGTCCCCCCTCGGGGATGAGAAGGGCAGGGTAGAAGTAATCGAAATAAATAAAAATAAATATCCGGTAGACCCCAATATCAAGTCCCATTATATACAGTGGCACTGTAAAATTGTATAAAATGGCAAGATCAAGATCTGCCTCTTGGATTAAAAAAATTAAAACTGTGCATGACTTAATCCATGGATACTATAGCTTAATCCAGGGGTCCTCAAACTAAGGCCGTGGGGCCAGTTACGGCCCTCCAGGGTCATTTACCTGGCCCTTGCTCAGGGACAACCTAAGTCTGAAATGACTTGAAAGCACACAACAACAACCCTATCTCATTAGCCAAAAGCAGGCTCACATTTCCCACTGAAATAGTACTAATAAGTTTATATTTGCTCAAATTGTACTTAATTTTAATTATTGTATTGTTTTTGTGTTTGTTGCACTACAAATAATGTGCAGTGTGCATAGGAATTCATTCATGCTTTTTTCAAATTATAATCCAGCCCTCCAACAGTTTGAGGGACTGTGACCTGGCCCTCTGTTTAAAAAGTTTGAGGACCCCTAGCTTAATCCATGGATATGGCATGCCAACTGTATTCTCAAACCTGTCCCCAAACTTGCAAGAAAGAAATGGAAAGCATTTCTTCCTTAGACCTGCTCTGTAGATTAGTAGACTACTCAGCATTGCCTATTTCATGTTAAAAACCTGTTTGGGGGCCTTTAGTCAAAGGGAGAACATTCCAGCCACAATGCCCCCATGGAAGCACAGAGCTATAATTCATGTTATTAGATTAAAGCAACTATTAGCAATGCTCAACTGACATGACACTGATGGAGGGGGTATAGAGAAACAAAGGTATCAGTGTTCCAGAGGTCCCATGGGACAGAAAAGTAGTAAATTCCAAGTCAATTCGAAGAGGAAGACCATGAAATTAAGAACCTCATTTCAGCTATTATTGGCAACCTGGATGATGACAACTACTACTATTGCCACTACTACAACAAAAAGCTTGACTTTACAAATTGGAAGTGAGCCAGTGTGGGAGTCTTTTGCCTTCCGTGTCGCACTTTGTCAATCAACTTTTGGAGCAGGTGGAAAAACACTTCACTCCTCAGACCTTTCTCAAAGGCAGAGTTATGGTGTTTTAGAATTCAGATTCCAGAAACATGTTTCCCATATAATGTCTATTCCCTGCTATTATAAAGTTATTTTTAAAAAAAATTAAATGTCTGATAATTCATATTGCATGCTTTGATTGTAATTGTAGTGACATCTCCATTGCATTAACGGGATGTCAGTTTCCTGATATCATCAAAGACAATCAAGCACATCATGATGGGAGTGACATCTGGCCTCACTGTCAGCATCTCAGAACAATTTGCTGGTGTGCTGCAAACATGTTGCATAGACTATAGTGGGAAACCGGAAAAAGAGCTCAGAACAACAGAAAAGGAGACAGATGTTGATGGAAATAAATTAAAAGAGCAAGGCCATTTATATGGTAAAAACAAAATGCCCAACAGGAATGGGAAATACATAGAATAAAAGAATGTTAAAGGAATGTATTGGGAGAATTGTTGGAGAAGGGGATGGGCAAAGCAATGAACGATTTAGGTGTTGTTGTTGAAGAAGAAACACAGGGACTACATCTGCCAAACTGCAGTAGTATTGCTGGTCTTCTGGCAGTCTCGGGCCACTTCCACAGAGCTATATAAAATCCCACATTATCTGCTTTG